CCAAGGGACTGCACAATCTCATTGCGAAATATGAGCCCGACTTTTATACGCACCATCGCAAAGTTGACAAGATGAACTCAGATGCCAGCACGTCGATGATGGGAGGCAATTCGAGCGTTGGCATCTCCGACAAACATGAGATGGGAGAATACGTCCAGGAGAGGACACGTCACCAGCAGACAGACAAATTGTTCTCTCTCGCTTTCTATAACTTGCCTCTTGTCTCACGTTTGCGCCAACTCCGAACCTCACAGATCGGAAAATTGCTCTCCATCTCTGGCACTGTCACACGGACGTCTGAGATTCGTCCGGAGTTGTCTCTAGGTACTTTTATCTGTGAGAACTGCAAAACGGTGTGCCCCGATGTTGAACAGACTTTCAAGTATACAGAGCCTTCGGAATGCCCGAACCAGTCTTGCGGAAACCGCTCTGGTTGGCGTCTAGACATTGGGAAGAGCACTTTTGTTGATTGGCAGAAGGTGAAACTACAGGAATCATCACATGAGATCCCCACTGGCAGCATGCCCCGTACTATGGATGTCATACTTCGTGGTGAGATGGTCGATCGTGCCAAGGCTGGCGAGCGGTGTATCTTCACTGGCACTTTGATTGTTGTTCCCGACGTCAGCCAACTAGGACTGCCCGGCGTGCGACCTGAGGCTGTCCGTGATGACTCTGCATTCCGCAGCGGAGATGTTGGTGGTGGGGGACTCACTGGTCTGAAGGCTCTCGGTGCGAGGGACTTGACCTACCGTCTCGCCTTCCTCGCTTGCATGGTCACCCCAGACACCACTACTCCTGGTCAGCAAACCAATCAGCACTTGAATGGGCAGTCTCATAACATTCTCGCTTCCCTCAACCAACTCACTGAGCCTGAAGACAACGAGGACAAAGCCCAGGAGGCGTTTCTTCACACCTTAACACCATACGAAGTGGAGGACCTAAAAGGACTCGTTCATTCGGATTATATCTATTCTCGGCTCGTGGACTCCATCGCTCCCATGATTTATGGCCACCGTCAGATCAAAAAGGGCTTGCTTCTGCAACTAATTGGCGGAGTCAGCAAACATACAGCACAGGAGAACATGCAGCTCCGTGGTGATATCAACGTATGCATAGTTGGCGATCCTTCAACAAGCAAAAGTCAATTCTTAAAGTAGGTGTTCAGGGTTTATTGTATAGGAACGGGCAGCTGACTGTAATTCTAGATACATTTGCTCTTTGCATCCTCGCGCAGTCTACACAAGTGGAAAAGCCTCGTCAGCCGCTGGTCTGACTGCTTCGGTTGTGAAGGATGCCGAGACCGGTGAATTCACCATTGAGGCCGGTGCCTGATGCTTGCGGTAGGCGTTTCCCTCAGTCCTTCACTTTCTCTAAACACAGCTGACGATTGTTTGATACATAGAATGGTGGTGGTATCTGTGCTATTGACGAATTCGATAAGATGGACATCAGTGATCAAGTTGCTATCCACGAAGCTATGGAACAGCAGACGATCTCGATCGCGAAGGCAGGAATCCATACGACTCTCAACGCACGTGCATCTATCCTCGCCGCAGCTAATCCTATTGGTGGACGATACAACCCCAAGGCCACCCTGCGAGCCAATCTCAACTTCAGTGCTCCCATTATGAGTAGATTCGATTTGTTCTTCGTAATCCGAGATGAGCCCAATGAAACTGTCGATCGCAACTTGGCCGACCATATCGTCAACGTACACATGAACCGCGACGAAGCCGTTCAGCCGGAGTTGAGTACCGAACAGTTACAGCGCTATATTCGATTCGCCCGGACATTCAGGCCAGTCTTCACTGATGAGGCCAAGGCTTTGTTGGTTGAGAAATACAAGGAGCTCCGTTCTAATGACTCCCAAGGCGGCAATGGCAGGTCTTCGTACCGCATCACCGTGCGCCAGTTGGAGTCTTTGGTTCGTCTTTCCGAAGCTGTTGCCAAGGCTAACTGTGTCGAGGAGATCGTACCGAGGTTCGTGCAAGAAGCGTATGATCTTCTCCGGCAGAGTATTGTCACGGTTGAAAAGGATGATGTCGAAGTCGATGACGATGAAGAACTTGTCAACGCGGCGGCACGTGATGAGGATCACGAAATGGGCGACGGCGAACGTGACCGAGAAGGCGACAGCCCTATGCGTGACGATGTGGAAGAGCAGCCAGCGCCATCGCGCCCAAGGACTAAGATCACGTTCGATAAATATATGAAGATTCTGAACCTCGTTGTCCGCCGAGTCAACGAGGATGAGTCTACCTCTGGTGAGGGTGTAGAGGAGGAGGATCTCATTGTCTGGTACTTGGAGCAAATTGAATCTGAGCTGGAGAACGAGGAAGATCTGCAACGAGAGCGCAGTTTGGCTGTGAAGGTTTTGAAGAGAATGGTCAAGGTTGGTTCCTCTATACAGCCCTGCCTGGTTGATTTGCCTGACTAACCGTTTATCTCAGGACAACATCCTCATGCCCATTCGGGGAGAAGGCCTGGTTGATGCAGCTGATGGAGACCAAGAGATCTCCCACCGCACCGTTTACGTTTTGCATCCCAACTGTGCGGTGGATGACATTGTCCTCCCGGATCCTAAGAGCAAACGGTGATGATTATAAGCATATAAGACGGAGTAATACTGATTACGAGTTATGAGGTGTGCTTGTGCATTGTTATTTGGGTTAGATGTGGATATCTCGGATTAGATTAATAGTTCGGCGTCACTTTTCAGCGCAAACGAACCCTGCCATCTGCCATTATTTTTGTAATCTTTTGTATCCTAATACGCTTACTATATGGGCGACATGCCCATCTTATTTTCGTATCATCTATGCTGAACCAGCCGCACTGGGAAAGTGTTTTTGATTCCATTGAGCTTGCAACAAATCTGCTCGCCCTGGGCTGCCATCGGACACGTGCCGTATTCCTGAAAAGACAGTTTAGAGGGGGGCAACTAGTAATCAACTTTGTGCATCATACTGCTGCACAAAGAGTACGGCAAAGCGCGAATAGAAAAGCAGAAAGCCAAGAGTTACAGAACAATAGGTACTACTAAGATATATATTCCTGCATACTTAGCTTATATTCTTCCCACTCAACCACAGCACCTGCTCCAAACGTATACTTTTAATATCTAACACTCCCATCCTAGATAGTATATATATGTAGGGCGAGAGGACCAAAACCACAAAATCTACTCTACATACCCCAAACAGCACTAACACAGTGACATAATCCCCCCACGAACACGAACACACACACGTGAGAATCAAACACGGACATCCCTTCAGCGGTAACCCGCGGGGCCCAAATCTAAACCATACGCATAATCCTCTATTTCGATCCATGGTGGGGGGAGGGATGTAATATTAGCCTTTTAGGTTGGCGCGCGGGGGTTCAACTGCCATCAAGCTCGTGCTGTTTCGGTAGTTTCACTGATCTGGCATGAGGGACTAAGAGATGGCTAACCGAATTAGGGGACAACTACATTACGACTCATGGGGGAGGTCTGTGGGCGAATAACGTTGGTAGGGGAGTGTTGTTTGTTGTTGTGGTTATGCCTGTGCTAGGACCTCAGGCTATTACTCTATTTGTTAAGGATTGACTGGGCTGCACTTGTACTGAGATTCATAACGTCCTCTCTTTGCTCTTTTTTTCTTTTTCTTTTTCTTTTTTGTATTTATTTTCTGGATTCTTATAATCAAAATTGATATTTCATTAGACAATAGGAATATCAACATTAGTCGTGCATAAACTAATCTCCAGAGAGTACGGCATACGGAGTACACCGGAGTCCACATCACCCCCCCCTCCCCCGTATTCCCCGACAATTCAATACCCCCGTAAACAGAGGTAAACCGTAAACCGTAAAACCTCAGCAGAAACACTATCTATCCACTATCCCAGACACAGTAAGACCTGCACCTCTCTCAGCGTAAGCGACTCATTCGCCACGAGCAAACCAGTCACTAATCGATCCCGTAGGATTGCGCATTGACGCAGGAAATTCCCTGTTTAGGAAGTCAGTACTTTTTGCCTTGCATTAGTTTCTGTGGCTTCTGTTTCGGGGGAAGAAGGGGGTCGGGGATATGACTCGTTGATGTGCACTGGGTTTGGGTTTGGGATCTATTCTATGGACTCTTTGTAGTGTTGGATTTTGATTCTGCTAGGATATCTGCAATCTAATAGTAGGCAAGGTGGCGTGCTTCGGTTTGTTGGTTTGTCTGGACAAAAGAATGAATGGGAGTACTACTTGTTTATATTATAGATTCTTCGTTGGGATTGTTGATTTGATTTTGTAGATGGATGTGTATACTAACTATACTTGCAGTGCTATGGAGGAGGAAGTGTAAGTAGTTGTAGTGTATTTATTGTAGAAAACTGGCAAACTGGCAGAAATCGAACATGCCCGCGCGCCAGCCATCCCTGACGAGGATAAACACGCAGCCGAGCTTCCCCCCGAACGCCGGTCGACGAAAGGGGGTGGCAGACGAGCCTATCACGTCCAACAGACGGCTTCCCTTCATCCTGCGTGTATGGTATGTATGGTATGGTCAGTGTACTTTTGGAACTTTTGTCCACAGGCAGATCGTGTAATACTAGTCGATGCATGAATTCCATATGTTATGCTATGTATGTACTTCTGATTTTTGGACTGTGCAGATCAGATCAACAATATACTTGTCAAGTAGAAAGAAAAACAAATGAGGTCAAATGCCAATGCGAACGCCGCGCTCTCCAATCCGATATGCTAAACATGTTCGTCGTGAACGAATGAATGTGGATGGTAGAAATTATCAATCGCTCAGGGAGACCAAGGAGAGACTAAACAAGACAAGGAAAAAAAAGTAGAGAGTGAATCTCAAAACCTCAATGAAGGGAGGGGTTAGGTATCATCGCTAAAACAACTCGAATTAAAGATGCCGCTCCAAGGCACGCTCTTCGGCGTAGTATCCGCGGAGACGATTATGCCGCCGCTGCGTGTTGCATCGCAACACGGTATGTAGTGTCTAAGCCCTCATCATCATTCGTCGGGCTCGGAACGTAGATAAGTCAATCGATTCTTCGGATTCCGTCCCGTCGTCCACCTCGATCGCTCCGATATCTGATGTCGGCACCTTGTTGCCCGCGGGGCCAACTGTCAACTGTATAGATTCCACGTGTGGCGCCTCGTTCTCCTTCGCGGCACGTTCCTTTTCCTGTTCCTCCGTGAGACGTCGCACTTCACCCGTGGCCAGTTCGAGCAGTGCCTTGAATTTATCCAGCACCCCCTGTAGTTCTTCCGAGCAGTCGCCCACCCGGAGGAACTGGTAAGCCGCCGTCTCACACAAACTATGAGCCAACTCCAACTGTCGATCTGCCATCTCAAAGGGGGAGTTCTTCGCCATCACCCGGGCCTGCGGCGGAGGTCCCCGATTCCGGGTGCTGCGGATCTGGGACAGCAACTGATCATCAGAACCATCCGCGGAAGAAGGAAGCGGCGGGCTGTTCATGCGGGAGGGTTTGTTAAGAGCACTACTACGCATGGCGCCCATCTGGGACATCTTTCCCCTCCGAATGTTGTTTCTGGCCGTCCCGATAACCCGCACCATTTCCTCCAGCGACTTCTGCGTCTCCCCGTCGTAATGGATCACTAGGTTGTATCGGGTGCTGACAAAAGGGTTCTCCTCAGAGGCCACGGAGGGGGCTTCGTCCGTGCCACGCTTTCGAGGGTTCGGGGTCGGGGTCGACGGGTCCTGGGGGGCGGGCTGGGGGGTGTCGGAGTCTTCCTGGGTCGGTGTATCTATGGGGGGCGGCGATTGTGTGACGGCATTCCGCAGGTCGTCGGTCCGGATGGAGCACACGGAGCTATTCTTGCGTCGACGCGGTCTCCCCGGTGTGACGGCGAGTTTCTTGTACGCCTCGGCATATTCGGCATGTTTGGCGGCGGTGTGGGTGGCCAGATCAGAGATCCGGGTAATCCATGTGGGTAAATTATCGGTGAGGTGGGAGAAGGCCCCCAAGGCGTCCATTGCACCGCCGGGCATGGGGGAATTGTTCGCTCAGGGTGCGTCTGACAAGGGTAAAATATGCGGTCGATTGATGGTGTCGAAGATGTCCCAACGGGGAAGAATATGGCAGGTAAAACCGGGGGTTGAAGAAGAAAAATCGTGCCGTCGTTCAAGTCGTCAGTCGTCCTAAGATGTGGAGGATCTGGGGTATAGAAGTAGAGAATCCCGGCAGCCGTAGCGGCATTTGTCACCCGCTTTGGGTCGTAACTACAGTTCCATGGAATGTTGAAGCGGATCTATGAGCCAGGGAGACTAAACGGAGTCACTGGTTGGGAGCAAATTGAAGGAGGGGGAATCGAGAGAGAAGTGGTAGAATTTCGAATGGGGTTGAGAGAGAGACTAGCTAAAAGAACATAAAGAAAAGAAGGAATCGAAGGGAAAGGAAAGAAATGCGACCGGACGGGACGAGCGAGACTTCAGAGGGAGCCAAAGTGGAGACCCAGTCGTCGTAGCGGATAATACGACGGACTAAGGTACGAGGTGTACACACGGTATCATGATACGTCCACATTACCGTACCTATCGGCCTCCAAAAGAAACAGGCGACGTCCCCGAAATGACTGAGTGAAGCCCGAGCGTGGGTCCAGCCATGCGAATTGCTGCAGCAGCAAGCAATATCGATCCCGTCTGGAATGTGAATATATTGATGGACCTATCGTACCTATCGTACCTGTCTTTGATCCCCTCGTCGCTGACCGTTCACACCCACTATCCTGCTAGTGATTTGACCATGGACTGCAGAATAACCCTGATTCAGTCGTGGGTCGGTTGGCAGTCTCCACCCTCGGTAAGTGATCGGGGATGGGGGTCTGACCGTACCGTACCAAACCTACCCAGGGCACGACGGTCGCTCCCGCTTCGTTACCGTCCAATAGTCGAGGCCTGACCGGCGGGACCAGAACTTCAGGCATCCACACCCTTTACCCTGGTCGTTGGTCCATTATTATCATTCTTTAAACATCGTTCGATTTCCTGAACAGTCATCCTCACACCCTTGCAATGCGATCCGGATCCTCGAAAGGAGCGGTGAAGAACCCCTCGTGGACATCTTACTTATGCATCTAGACAGTTCTTGAGAAAGACATGCAGATGGCGTCGGGATCGGTCCTCCCGGGCTGGAAGGGGTTGACCAAAGTCGTCGTACAAAATTCGATCCCTGGTTACCTCCGTGCGACAGGGACTGACTTCGAGATGCTTTGGAAAGGTCCTGGAAGATCGGAAAGCCTTTTGTGTTCTAGAAAACGGGTGTCACTAGAAATGCCACGGGGAAATTAAAAAAATCCCCAAGAAAAAAAAGGGGGGGGGGGGGGAAAGGGGAGTGATCTCTCACACCAGAGTCTCCTGTTAAGGTTCTTCTCCCGCCATGAAACAAAGAATATCACCACTGATTCAGGTACATGTCTATAATATTATATCAGCATATGTTATGATCCACACTGAACGGCAAGCCCGTTAGACTAACCACAGTTGCACTCAGAAAAGTGATTAATTAAAGTATGTACGTACGTAACTCTACTAAGTGGCAGGTCTGGAGCAAGAAACCCGAGGCAGCCAATTGAAAGACAGTGACATGGATGTTCTCAACGGCTTCTTTACCCAAGTAAGCCCTTAGACGTAACGGCTATTTACAACGACGGCAACGAATGCCATGTTGGGCGTAAGTTCCCGACGTTTCCGTCTCCGCTTTCAAAAGGTCGCCTGGCGATCGTCGTGCAATCATTTCACATGGGGCAACGGATGAAGGCGACGAGCAAGGCAAAGGAATCGATATCCTGGTTATAATCGCAAAGATGTCTGTTCATGGCCGACGGGAACCAAAACACGCCGTTGCCAAGCGCTCTCCTGAAGTTGGCACTAAATTCCAAGGCAATGGCTTGCATGCCATCCTACCTGCCTTCCCTCACCAGTATTAGACGCACGTATGGCACGAGCGATTCCTAGTCGCAAGGTTCTTGGTTCGTTACGACGAATCGGTCACGGAAAATGGACGAGAATCTAGTCTCGGTCTACGACACGAATACATCAGACAATGGTGGTCTTACTGTGCTAGTGGCTCGGATTCATGTTGATCAGTGACAACGCATCATCTTCTGTCTGTCACCTGCCATGTAAGCAATTGTCCACTTGGCAACACCGATCCCTCGCTGCTGCATACAGACGCAAATCCTGGATACGAACCATGAAGGTTAGGTAAACCAGTGCTGTTCTCAGCAACTGGACTCTGGGCGCATAATTACAACGAAGAACCAGATGAATTGCAAGCAATAACGCAGCGGACACTGTGTGTGCGCCGATGTAGTCGGGGAAATACGGCTTCTGAAGAGTATCTGTACAGAGTAGTCATTGGTCCTGCACCGTAGTGACAATATCCTCCATCTGCAATCATGTACGGAGCACCGGAGACCTTGGCTTTTTGCCACCGTCGTGAATGCAATGCCCTACATAGTTAGACCATTACGTTGCATGCGTAGCAGGGTTTATCGTGGGCGAATACGGTCGTACGGTCGTTCAATCAGTGGCTTGCCGCGGTTAAATCTTTTTCTGATAGTTCTGGTGAAATGTTCAGTTGACTATCTGACTTGTTAGCGTAAGTACAGCCAGGACAGTCCGCGGAAATATACCGTAGAAAAATCTACTATGCGGAGCAATGTACACAGCAAGGCATACTGAAGGTGTAAACCGGGTTCCTTCGTACAATAATGCATATATGGTATTATATAATATCAGGACAGGTAACTATCTGTGTCGTGTACGAAGTTAGTACTATTATACTGCTTGGTCAACAACACCAATGTGCATGTGACCGAGAGACTTTCAACAAACAAGCCAAATACTATGCTGACTACTGTTCCTAATGGTGGCGTTCAGGGCAACCCTGGACTACGAAGTAGTACTACTAGTACTAGTTGTAGTACGCACCTTGTGGCTGTGAATACGTGTCAGTTTTGTTGTCTGCATTCTGCAGGTTGCCCGTTTTCTTCTTTTTCTTCAGCCTTCGGAAGCTAAATCCGCAACCATGTGCAAAATAATCTTCTACTCCTGTTGTTGCGTACCTGTCTTTAGCTCTTGACTCAACAGAGTGTAGAGGTAGGCCCTTGGTTCTAGACTACTAACCCAGTCATACGCTTCGTGGCCATGACGCCTTCAACCAACTTGCCAGCAGGGTACAAGCTTGTGATATCCCAGTAAACATAACCCACCTTGGTTCTTGCTATATTGTATAATTTTAATCATCTGACAGGTAGCTAACACTGCATGGCGCATTGTGTACAGGCGGAGATTTCTACGCACGACCGCAGCGTGCATCCTATTGCGTCAACCGGAGACGACCTGAAGATGTACATAGCTGGATAAAAGTCGATTCCAGGCGAGAAGCGACAAACCTGCAATATCTCAGCGAAACAGCATTGAGGCTTGCTGCAAAGTTGTCGCAATCTCTCATGCAGGTCTCGCCTCAGCTTCTCTATTGGAAGTCGCCTTCCTGGTCCAAGCAACTCCTGCGTCTAGACCAACTTCAGCACAGAGTATACCGGAAAATGTGCCATCAACAGCTGTGATGTTGGGTATATAAAGGTGCTGCTCGTCGGCATAATAACTTCTCTATCCATCCTTCGATTTATCTACACAGCCCGGCTTAAGCATACTGGACCTCTGAACAAGGTAAAGGAATTACGGAAGACTTTCAGGAATATCTCTAGCTGATTGCATATACCGGTCCAGTCCCTCCGATCACGACGTATACTTCGTTATCACACAGTTGACCACGAATCAAAATGGCCGAAGCTACCGGTAAGTGTACTTCTACCCCCTGGGGTACAACTACTTAGATTATCCAGGACAAACTTTCGACGCTGACCGCGGCCAATATTGGAGCGGCGAGATTGAGGCAGGCACTGCCAAGATCACTCGGTACCAAGATGGTAGACCTACGCGGTTTACCTTCAAGAAACCGTTCCAGAAGGCACCGCATGTTCAATTCACCCCTGACTTTGGGGACAACCCAGCCGCAGGATTCAAACAGTCTTGGCTTTACTTCCTGGGCCAGGGAAAGCCGGCGGTAGATAAGGAGGGCTTTACCGTGGGATGCTTTACGGACGTTGGACATGAGCTGACGTTCAGGTACACCGCCATTGAGATACGTGAGAGATACTGAGTGTCTTAGTAACTTTGGCTGTGGCATGTGTGATAGGGTCACCGGGAAACGTTAATTGTCAATAGCCCAGTTATGTGAAGCATTTTCTATGAAGATACTATTTGGCTTTCGCATCTGTCCTGGCGTAATTCTTCCATGTTCAGTCGGACCCCCTTCACATATGTAGATGGAAAGATTCCTTAAACCACCAAGATGTGCCTTCTACATAAATACGCACTACGCTAACACGGAACCCTGCTTCCTAACAGAAATGACCTGATCGCGTATTGGACTTTGACTATATCCTAGTTAACATTACCACTTGCATCCGACAATGCTGAAGGCCCGAGATAGGGGAATAATCAGGTGTCTAAGCTCTGGATTTACGAGACTGATGTGACAGGGCATGGCCAGTGCAGATAATCACACTACCAAAAGAATCAATATTGATATAGAGAATTGGTTCAAGCGTGAGGACTTCATATCCTTGCTTGAAAGGTTCAATGACTCCGAGAAGGGCCAGATACTCTTCAATGGGAAGGGTATATCAAATGTCAACATCTATACATACCACAAACACTTATCTCTCGCGTCACAAGAGCCTACGCTCTTTCAGGGTCAGCATTTCTTCTGTTCGCGTGACAATTTTTGCACTGACTATCGCAGGCACGATCCGAGATAACGTTCTCCTTGGTATTGATCCCAGAACAAGAACTGACAGTCAACTCCACGCCGCCTGTCGTAGCGCGTCGATTCATGACTTCATTATGTCTCTCCCCGAGACCTACAACACCGATGTGGGATCCCGCGGCATCAGGACAGAAGTAGCACATTGCTATCGCTCGAGCTCTGATTCGCAACCCCCTGGTCCTCGACGAGGCTACTGGTCCTCTTGACTCAGAGAACGAGAAGGTTGTCCAGGCAGCCTTTGAACGTGCCGCCAAGGGCAGAACTATGATTGCCGTTGCACATAGATTGGCAACCGTGCAGAATGCCGATATAGCCTTTATTTTAGGTGAAGGTGGTCAATTTTTAGAGAAGGGCAGTCATCTAGAGCTTCTTAGGAAAGGAGAGGTCTACTATCAAATGGTACATTCAAGAATACCAAATTCTACCTTTAGTTTATGGGCAACGTTATTTTAATGAAGGGAAACAGTGTCAGAACCAAGCACTCGATTAGTAGTGCAGAGAACTTGGTAAGGAAGACTGGGTTATGGGACTTGCTATCATTTCGGCATGGTTAGTTTATGCAGCTCGAGGTCGAAACGTAGCTTGTTTATACTTGATAGTGCAGTTTATTTCGAATGGTACTTTCGGTTTTCGATCGGCCTTCTCGGTGTATTTTTGACGAGTAACGTCCGCTACAAGAAGCTGGCTCATATGTGCCTTATACAGCATACCAATCTGGTGTTCAAAGTGACGCAGGTCATTTATGGTAATAAGCAAGAGCGGAATGTTACGCCCTGGGCTTCGTCTAAGGACTCTGTGACTGGTTAGCTATCCTGGTTAGATGAGACTTACCACTATGACTAGAATTTACTAGTGATCGGTGATGGGTGGCCTTGAGGTCCGAAACGATGCAAACACAATCCGTAGGTATCAGCCTAAGGTCCAAGAGTCAGGTCTATTGAGTACGTATATTCAATAGTCAGATAGTGCGAACGAGTGGAGCTGGCTATAATTACTGTGGGTGTAGCTATTAAGTAGCCAATGAGATTGACCACGAAGAACTAAGCTAGGTACATGAATGAATGTCTTCATTTATCCTTTCCCTTGGTCTAGTTGAACTACAAAACCGGGGTCACCCTGGCAAAAGCTGCTACGCCATCCAGAGTGGTGAAGTATATTGGCAAATGTCGTAACTGGAATAAAAGAATCCAAGAGCGGATAGATTTGGAGTTGGCTGATGATGGTGTATAATCTGGTAAGGAATTCCAGGCCATGTGGGTCTTGGATTTGCCGAAAAAGGTCAGCAATGCTAACTCTTTTCTCTCTACCCTCAGAGCTTGAAGACGATTATAAGCTGTGTTTTGATTATATGCAAGGCAAACTATCCATGAGCTTATTTCAACCCCCCAGACAACAGGAGACTCTGGCCCGTCATATACCCGGTAGTCACCAACATTGTGACCACATTGGCCGTCTCCTCCGGCGTACCTAGCGGCCTAAAGGAATAGTCGCCACCGTGTCTTGGATTGCTGCAACACTGGGGACCATTCCCGTATCACCTATCATAGCAGGCGCGACATCATTGACACTGATGTTGTATTCCGCCAAACGGGTGGCGAGATTCTTCATCATGCCGGTAAGCCCTCCCTTGGACGCAGCGTAGTCTGAGACAAGAAGATCAGAAATGATCGCATGTGAACAAGGATAAGAAGATCAACTAACGGCATCCATTGATTCCTCCCCCACAAGCAGCAATCGAAGACATGAACACGATCCGGCCCCATCGCTGCGCCTTCATATGCTCTACCACGCCCCTGACGAGAACAAAAGAAGCGCGAAGATTAATATTAAGCATGTAATCGAATTCCTCGAGCGGGATGTCCCATATATTAGTTATTCGTTTCCCGTAGCCAACGTTTGAGATCAGGATGTCGGGTCTTTGGCCGTGTTGAGCGTCGGTCTCCTGGAATAGATTCTCGATTTGGTCGGCGGATCCAACATCGACTTTGTGGGTTGAAATGCGCAGCTTGTTCTCGGCGTATTTGGACTGTAGTTCTGTGACGAGTTCGTTTATCGATATTGGATTAGTTGAGTATGTCAGAGCGAGGTGAACTCCACGTTCAGCTAGCTGGTGAGAGCATGCTGCCCCGATTCTAAAGCAGTGAACTTTTGTCAGCATCTGGAGATCTCATCGTGAACTGTGGGATGGTATGGGTACCCTCCTGATGCGCCCGTGACTAGGGCTAGGCGGCCGCGTATCTCGTTTAGTGTCATCCTCTTATGAATATGGAATGCACGATGCCAATGGGACGGGGAAGTCTATTCTTTCTCACGCAAAGGTGTGATATGGTGTAGTTTTAGGATGTCTACTTTGACCTCGGCTGCAACTCGCGGTGACCTCCACATGGTGAGAGCGGCCTTTGAATGAGAGCGCCAATATCGCGTAAGATAATGCTGCTATCGCTGATACCTCACCGAGCTAACGGATTTACTCCGCATATCGATCATGTCTCATGATAGGAACAGACGCAATCCGATTGTAGTAAGCTAATCGCTATCGGGTCCATCACCATGGGCGGAGCTCCTCCCAAGACCCACTTAGTGCATCTTCGCGAGCTCCTCCTAGACTAGTTATGCCGCTAGTAGTCGACCTTATACCCCGGAGTAAGATTCAATATGCAACAGCACGTTGAGCCTTTTATCGCTCGTATCTGATAGCCTGGTATATGTTATCGCAATCAGACTTCTCGGGTGAATGATAGAAATTGTCGTCGGCTACTGATCAATCTGAGTCACTTCCACGGTAATCTTTTGTGAAAATAACGTTACAATGCTTGTGAGCAGGACGAAGGACAGAATACGACTAACCCCACCAACGTTCTTAGAAACAAATGCCAGTGATATAACAGAAATCCTGGGCGGTGATGGAGATATCCCTCTCGTTGACGCCGGGCGCCCGGTCTATTAAAACGTGGAAAGGCAACACCACCAAGTGACGAGTATGAGAGCACCATATACTGAAATGGTGTAGGGCTAGATTGTAGTGTGTTAACCCGGTTAAAGAAGAACAAAATCCAAAACATGCAACAGCATTAGTATGGAGGTCCATAAAAAAAGCGTATCGAAACGATGAATTGGCCTATGCCAAACAGCCATGAGCACCTGCGACAAGGCTGATATTTTATAGATAATGAACATATGAGCTATATAGGCTTGTTTTCTTCTGATCTTCTACCCTTCTATTGATTTGTTGATTATTTGTTTACTGTTTGGTCTCACAAACTTCGAACGATGTCTAAAATCTCCAAGGCTGCGTTCCAAGGGCTTGCGAAGGAAGCACGCGACAAGGCCGATACCCTTGTGAACCCAGTATTCCCCTCGGCAGCAACTACTACTAGTAATACGATTCAAAGGACGTCTACGGAGGCCTATGGCGGCCACTCCGCAACAACGGCTCTCCTCACTAAGTCTATTCGCCGCCTATTCACCGCCCAATAATATACTGTATCAATATCTCTCTAACTATAAGATATTGTATAGAAGGGGCTTAAGAAATAGATATTCTATATATTCTTTTATATAAATTACAAATTAAAGTACTATTCTTAGGAAATTGTGAATAGAAATACTGAATTTAAAAAGATAAATGTAATTAGTCTTCTTCAGGGCCCACGAATGGGCCCAAACTCCAGGCCCAAGGCCCAACCCATATAGGCCCTGGGCCCTGACTACCGGGCCCAACCCCAACCCTTAGACCCACGATGGGCCCCCAATGGGCCCCTATACTAGGCCTAAGGCCTATCGTAGGTCCTAGACTCGGGCCCAAAGCCCAACCCACCGTGGGCTTGGGCCGGGGTTGGGCCTGGGCCGGGATGGGCCGTGAAGAAGCCTATATGTATTACAGCGAAGTGCAAAAGCAGCTTCACCATTTTATACTCTTCTCTTAATTCTGGGGCCCACTGCCAAGACGCTAGCCTAACCATGGAGTGCAGGCTAGTGCACTATGGTATGCCGTTTACCCATTGTAATTTACACTCACATGCTAGAACCCATGACTTGATACTATATGAAAGTAAAATATTAGATATTGCTGAAGTAGAGATATATATGCCTGAATATTAGAGCGAGATCTGATAACATATGGTTTGAGCATATCCGTTCACAAAAAAGCGAATAAGATGCCACCTGACACGTCATTTCAGTGACCGTTACCCCCCAGGAACCTTTGCATTCTTAAGTACTGTACCCGATACAGTCCATCGAGTTCTGGTTTGGGTTGAGGTTCCTACCAATAGGACCCGGTTTTCAAGATCTATCTGGCTCCCTTGGAGTGTTCACTGACTTGGTACTGGGTCTAGTTTTCTTAAAGAGACACTGCACGATATTTACAGCAGTCTTATCCTTGCCCTATATGGCGTTGTTCTCCTATCTAGTAATTAAAGTAAGATTAATACTAGAGGCTGCTTCTCTATGGGTCGACTCGCTATTTAATAGCGGTGGAATTGATACTTTACTAATAGATTCCTTATAAGCTAACAGCGATATAACACTTGTCCCGAGGCCGCTGTTACTTTAGTAGGATAACTAAAACATTAGCTTAGGTGATTATAGATATCTTTCTATAGAGACCGAGCAGGTCTTTTATTTCTAGATTAGAGGAAACTTCACGCTGTGTCCAAAGACTATAGTTCTATAGACTAGAAGAGGCTTGGGCGGGCTGTGGAAGCTATAGATAAAGAGTTTAGAAAACTTTATTAATAGAAAGACCTGTATATAGTTGTAGTATATCTCTCTAGAAATAGTTTTATAGTAGCAATTTTTAAAGACTTTGTTTAGGCAGTGCTAATATATTTTTATAAATAATTTCTAGAGGTATTGATTATTGTCGGGATCTCTGTAAATACTTTTTATTATATCCTGAATAATAGGGGTGGTCGTGGCTAGGAGATCTTCACCTTTTGGTAAAATAGTTTATTAATTGTATTGAGCTTTACCCTGCAAAGTATTTGTAATAAGACCTAACTAGGCTGAGTTAGTAAAACACTTCCTGCTAAGAGCGATTACTTGAGCCGTATCTACGGGCTAGAGGATTTTTCTAAAATCTATATTAAAGAGAATAATAGCGTTGATAGCTTAATAAGATTAATCTATTTTAATTTAATATCACGAAGTAAAGCTACTTTAGGTAAAAGTAGGTTAGTACTGGTTGTCACCTGCTGGAAATCCTATTTCTTAAGATATCTTTTTAACGATTTATAGATTTTAGTTCCAAAGCCGTCCGCTGTTAATATATCGGTTTATATATTAAATAATATATCTAAAGTTATGTAAATATCTTTAACTAGGTCTAGGAGTTGTTTTTATATTTTTTATATTTTCTGGTTCATTTTTAATAGCTCGTCTCCCTTTTTACTTATCTCTTCTATAATTCTATTCTATTTCTTATATATCTTGAGATCTATATTAGCTCTATTTTAAAAAGACAGCGTTTATAGTAGTTTTTTCTATATATAAAATATTTAACTCTTTGATATTAACTTTACTAAAGAGAACTTCGCGCCTAACTTTTCTATAATAGATTAAACAGGTGCGGATAAGATATAGTAGGGTACTTAACCTATCAATTAGCCAAGCCTAACGGTTTTTATAATTGTAAAATATAATAAATTGCTTCTTGGCCTACTTAAGCTATTTATAGTAGTTAGTTGTTTTAATTACCTATACTAGCTTATCTTTCTTGCCAATTGCGATTAAACTATCTACACTGATAATTCTTCCTATTAATATAGATAGATAATTAAAAGCGAACCGAGAGTCGGGCTAATATAATCCTATTTTATAGATATTATAGCTGGTATCTTTAGAGCTTTAATTTATAACTATTAATACTAGACCTGATAGTAATATTTCTAGGTTATAGTTAGAGATAAATACAATTTATTTATATAGTTCTATATATATTTATACCAGCCGATAATATAATGCGCAGTTTCGACGCTAAAAAGTATTAGATACTTTAAGAGATCGAAGTCTATAACGATTCTGCGAATATGGAAGTTTATAAAAGGGATTTGGCTTCCGTCTTTATTAAATAATATATACCAATGTACTGTATTCCTAGTATACTTTGTCAAAATTAATATGGTATAGAAATCTTAAAGAAAGACCTTCCCGTAGAATATAGTGATATATTGGGTTTCTACTAGCGGCACTAGTATAATAAGCGAAATCTTAAAACCAGGATCTTGGTTCGATCGATGACATTGTATAGAAAAGTCGAGAACGATGATAGGATTTTTAAATAGATTTTACTAGTATTGGTTAGTTAATTGTAAAGAGCTATTTAAGTATTGTAAATAAATGGTAAGTCTATATATTTGGTTATTAGTTTTAATGTCCCTGTCGATAGCAAGAATAATAGAGGCGATTAAGTTACCTCGTGTTGAACGAAGTGCCGCTATTATAAATGTGAATATTTTTTTAATCTTAACTAAGATTTCTACTATACCGCCTATTTCTAAAGAAAAATATTTTAAAAGCTTTATCTAAGCTATGATCTTTGTCCTATTAAATAATATTATTGGAAATAGCTTAGTTAACAATTAAAAATATAATATTTGTGTAGTTTATTTAAATACTGTAGGTTTGGTTCACTTCGCATTGTATGTTTTACTAATTCTATAAAATTTTCCCTAAATAGCGATTAAATATAGTATATATATTCTAAATAAGGTATTGTCTTTATATCTTTATTCGCGTTTTGAATAATTATAATAGTATCTTTAATAATCTTTTCCAATTTTTTATGTATTTTTAGTTATAAATAAATGCTAAGAGATCTCAATCCAATTGGAATAATATTAAAAATTTAGGAGGCTTTTTTTGGTTGTTGACGAGACGATTCTTTTATCGGGTATACAGGATTTAATAGATTTGTGTCGAAATTGCTTTTATTGAATTAGCCTTTAA